TATTATTAATTATTATTAATATTTATTATTAATTATTATTAATATTTACTATTAATTGTTATTAATATTTATTATTAATTATTATTAATATTTATTATTAATTATTATTAATATTTCAGAACAGTATATTCCATAAGAATAATAATTATAATATTAATTTCAATTTTTAAAAATATCTTAATTTAAAATTTATTTGTATTCGGCATATATTAATTATTTTTAGTTGCTAATTACTTTTATTTGTTTTTTCAGGTGAACCGAAGGTTGTATCCCAAACTATAATTGAGGGTAATGATGAAGTGGCATCAACGCCGCAATTATGCAATTAGAATCAGTCAAACATATACTTCAATATATGTCCAAAACGTTCCCGCCTACAAAATATATATACACAATTTTACAATTGATCTTGCAAAATTTTAAAGAATTAAAGAATCAGTTATCAGTTATCAGTTATGATACATATGACATTTTCACTTGTAATTGAATCAGTTTCTAAGAAAAAATAATTATTTAAATGTATTTTAAACATTAATTCGATATTGTTATACAATAAAAGATGAATGTGTAATTAATAAATGGAACTAATATTGAAAGCATAAAGAAATTTAAACATCAACAATCATATTGTTTAATTTATAAAAATAAAACAATGTAAATGTAAAAACTTTAAAAAATAATTTTTTATAAATTTAAACATTTATATATATATATATATATATATATATATATACATATATAGATATATACACATTAAAATTAGAATTGAAAATGTTAACAAATAGCAATATAAATTAGTTGTAGATTAATTGTAAAATTACTTAACATCAAAATTAATAAAGAATAACATTTTATTATTTGCCATGCTGTTAAATTATTTTTCAGCTGTATTTAAAATTATAACACTCCTCTTATTTTATGTATGTGTTGAAAAATTATATAAAAGAATAAAAAAAATTAATGATTAAATTATTTTAATCAGTTGACCCAGAGTAATTTATCTAGTTCTTAATTTTAGGTTATACTAAAGCCCTAACATGTATCTAAATTCTCCACTTTACTTAGTATGTAACAACTAGTTACTGCTAGTTTCTTACATATTATTTATAAAAATTATATATAAAAAATTGGTTTTGTAAATTTGTCTGCGTTTATATATATTAAGTTTAAATCATTTTAAAATATGTATGTATGCTGCGAATTGTATATGATTTTAAATTAAAGTCAAATAAATATATTGTAATATTTAAATACCTGTAGAAAGGATATGACAGTTAAGTACCCATAAAAATACTACGTGGGTTTATTTAAACTTATGGTAAATATACATTGCAAATCAAAAAATTTATTTTGTTAGAAAAATAAAATATTAGTAATTTCACAGGAATAAATTTTCAATCATAGAAACCAATGTTAAAGTTAAAATCCTTCTTAAATTATTCTATTATATAAAAAATATTTACGCAACTTTTAATTCTTAAATTTATCAATAATATTTTTTTTTTCAGAAGCTTACATATATTTTTTATATACATTAATATATTTTAAAATTTACTTAAGTCTTAAATCTATTATACTTTGTTAATATACAAATTTTGAGTTCTATAAAATAATAAACATAAATAAAAAAAAAATAAATACGTAAAAAATAATAAATTCAAGATTAATATTAAGATGTATACATAATTATAAGTTTACTAGAATTAATACTGTAAGAACTTTTTAAATTTTCTTTTGTAAATAAAATTTTATAACATGCAAAAGGGATAAGAAATATTGCAACTTTTTATTCCAATTTATTTAATTATTAATTAATAATTTATTCTGTGCCACATACAAATATTTAATTTTAATAATGTTGTCAGTTATTAGGTCGACTTAATTTTTATTAAAAATAAAACGCGCTCGTTTTATTCAATTCTATTCGTGCGAAGAGCGAGGGAAGAGGGAGACTTATTCCTTGAGAGTATTCAGAAAAGAGGTGATTATAAATTTTCAACCATCTTCGATACAATAAATCTATATCGTCTTTTTAGCTATTGAGGGTTAATAATTCAAATGTTTGTTATATGTTTAAAACCTTGGCAAAATTGATATCCAAAAATGTTAAAAGGGTGATGGGTGTTTTAATAGCCAATATTTTACACACATCAGGAAGTAGTGAAAAACCTAGCTTTAACGGTTTAATGGGAATATTGTTTAAATGTTTTTTTCTTTAAATCGATCTAAATGTCTTCTAATTCTTACCTAAATGTACTAGGTAACATGAGAGAAATTACAAAACGAATATATGAGTTATGAAGTGATTGGATGAAGATTGAGGCGACCTTTAAAATAATGAGGGTGCGGGTGAGTGTTAATAGAACTAGCCTGAATCGATGTGAAGGAACTTGGCCACTTTAAAAGGTCGGAGCCATAGATTATTAGAGTTCAATTGGGTGCTAGAGAATGAGAACAAATCGGCGACGTTTTGATGAGTGGAATTGCAATTTGTGCAAACATTGGGAGTTGTATTTAAGCAGAAATTTGTTGTTATCACTAAATAAGAGGCCACAAGGGAAAGGTATGTATTACTTTTATTGAAAAATATTCTGAGATCTGGTCCGTATCGAAAGATTGTTCAATTTTTAGCATTCGTTATTGTAGTCCAGGACTTTGAAAATATACAGGTGGAAGAGTATCGATGAGAGAAGACTGCCTTGAGGGCATCCGGTTTAAGTTTCTTGCTTTTGACACCTTACCTTTAAAATTAACGTGAAATGATCTGTTCAGCAGATAACTACAATTGATTCTGAGTTAGATGTTTAAGCCAAGTCATTTAGAAAGATGGTATAGGAGATTGTTTTGAACACCTTTTTGAAATCGATGCCATTGGAATCTGAGATGTATCTGATAATATGACTTTTATGAAAATTGTGTTGATGAGGAGCAAAGTGAAGGCAAACATTTATGGTTTGTATATTTTCTTACTACCTACCCGTGAAAATTTTTAACACTATGACGTCCAAATAATTGTCATAAGACGTATCTCTATGTGGTCTCTTGCAGTGCAACAGGTTGACTCTTCGTCTATTACAGTTAACCTATAAAATTTGCACAGGGGATGTTGTGTTGATTATAGACAACACGCTTAAACTATTGAAAACTATTGGTGTTCGTTTGAATGAGTCCATCAAATTAACACATATCTTTTTTAAGTGGCTGCTTACTCTCTTAACCGTCGACTATGTCTACTTCAATCTTTAAATTCATAATCCGTATAGCCTTTAAATTCAAAACTTTGGATAATTCTATGGATAATATAATAGCATGCTAATGTGTTGTGCGCTCGTTTGAAAAATCGCACTAATATTCTGAATCGCTTACGGCTGCTCTTGGGGGAATTAAAAAATGTTTGTTTAGTACATATAAGGCAATAAAGTACCTATGGTGCAATTTATTACACAACTTAAGCTCTATGAGATGGTGCAAACAGCTGTCGTCATATATCGTATTCAACCATAAGGAATCAAAGCAGAATTTTAAATGGTTTTTGTAAAATTGCAGATATCAGGTACTTTCTAACCGATTCTTCTTGCGTGCGCTTCAAATGGTACCTAAATAATATATTATCATCCGACGATTCGTTTTATCGTTTTATAAACTATCGATCAACAATTATTGGTATGTAGGAAACATTAACAACATCGACTACTTTTAAATGATGTTAGTCCTACACAGTAATGCAATATCATCTTTGAGGCATCAGCTTAATAGCAATTCGTTTCTAACATACAGCTGTAAACAATAATTTATTATAAACAAATTGGTCTACTTTAGGGGCTTCATTTTCTATAGTTGTTCCACATGCTAAAAACTATTAAATTATTTGTTACACTATCTCTAAATGAATTCCAATAAAATTCAGTTTAAAAATGCATTTGACAGGAATGTTTTCTTTTTATAATGCTAAGTTTCTTATTATATAGCATTGTTACCTATCTTAACAAAACTTACCAGGTTCCCATGGTTTATACCAATGTCATTTTCTCATTCTACTAAGAAAATACCAAATATTTGTTCATTAATGCTAAGATTTTTCAACTTCTTTCGCCCGTGCTATCTTAAAGTATTTTTAATATTTACTTCTTAAGAACGCTTATACTTATCTTTATCATTATTTTTTATTGTTTCCCTGTTCATTTAACAGAACAGGGCAAGTAGAGTTGGAGCTTTTTGAGAAAGTATCTTTAGAAAGAAGTAGAAGCTCATATCCAATACTGATCTCTGGGAACGCACGGAACAAACACAAGCCGCCACTGAAATCAAAAGAAAAAAATGAAAGTGGATTACCCACACTCTCAGCAAAAATTCCTCTTCATAGTAGAGCAATCCCTACGCTGGAATCCACAAGGCAGTCGCCAGCCTAAAGCACAGCTAAGACATGACGAAAAACCGTAGACCAGGACGTACAGTGTTCCTGGAACCAAATCACGAGAGAAGCAAGCAACAGAATAAGATTTAGAGGAATCGTTGAAGCAACATGCTCCACTTAGGAGAGAAGGATAGCAGTAAGTAAGTAAGTAAGAATTAAATAACTGTAGATTGGGTAATCACCTATCGAAGTTAAAAAGTCAATCCAACTCAGACTGCAGATACTTTAGAGAAGAGAGAGAAACTGCATACCATATGCTTAGGGAGTGGTCGGCACTGATGTACAAGCGGAAGAAACACCTTCGTGGGTATTTCATGGATCATAAGGGCCCAAGACTAGAAAAAAATAGTCTATAATTAAAGAAATCGGACTTGGAGACACACTCTAATCCGACTAAGGGCCACGATAGATCTTTCTTCTTTTCAATAACAATAATAAGATAATCGGAGAAGTAAAATATAACATTTCTTGATTCCTATTTGTATATACGTATATTCTTAAAAAAAAATTATTCGTTCTCATTTTTGTATTATTATCTATTGTATTGTATTCACATTAGTTTTACTTTTAGTTTAAATTAAAAGATTTAAGTAGTATTCTTTCCGAATGAGCTGAGTTCAAGAAAAAATATGATTAAATTTTGATCATTTACAGGAGTTTTGATTTAAGATTAACAAAATCACATTTTAATAACAAAATATTAAATATAAAATATTGTAGAATGATTGAAATTGCGCTAACAAATACTATCTTATTTTTCACGATTTATAATTTTGGGATAAACTTTAGATTCCCCTTCTTTCAATGGCACTGCAGCTTCGCTATCTTCCACATCTGCCGGTTTGGTTTTTTTCCCTATGAATTTTCTCATGATAGGGGCATATAATTTTAAATTTTGTGTTTCTCCTTCACGTATTTTCCAAACGTAGCTTAAGGGAATCGCCACTAACCAAATTATTAAACCTCCAATAACTGCAAAACAAACTATATTAAATTTTGTTTCAATATTATTGAGATATATAAATAATATATACCTTTATACCAATAGAAAGCTATTTCGTATATGGAAAATTCTCTGTTGCTACTGAAAGCATTTGTGACGAGTGGAACTTCGGTTGTTGTTGCAGAAAAATGTTGTATTGAAGAGGTTGTAGTTCTGGAAAAAATAAATAATAATATTTTATTAAATATAAAATAAAAAAATAAATAATAATATTTTATTATTTATTTTTATAATATTTTTCAAGAAAAAAATATATAACAAAAGAATCGCGATTAAAATTGTGTTAAAAATTTAGTTTAATAAAGATAAGCATTATTTATCTGTAATATTTTTAGTACCTATATTAGCAAAATAAAGATGTCATTTTCACTTCAAGTTTACATAATTTTTAACATATAATTAATATATAATATTAAATAAATTAATAAATTGATTAATTATTTATTAAAATTAATATGTTAATATATCATAATTTATTATAATAATATATATAATATATTCCCTCACTATTTATACCTACACTGATTTAATCACATCATTTAAATCTTGAGCATCGCATTTGTCTATTGTCGTAGAAAGGGGAATATAATCAATAATTCCCGCTTTTAAACGTATTTGACCCTGTAAAATTATCCACAACATGGTACCGACACTTGTGATGATAGCGATAAAGGCGACCTTTAAAATAAAAGATTTTATTCTGAATAGAAAAATAATGCGATACGAAAAAATTACTTTTCCATTTACTCTGGGCACAAAGACGCCCAAAAAAAAGATTCCCACTATGGCTCCACTCCCTATGCCAGCGACAGTCGATATTAATTGCATAATAGAATTAAAATTTTGTACAATAAATCCACCAAGAACACAATAAATTCCCATTAATACGACTAGAACTTTCATAATAGCATTAGCCTTCGCATCTGTATGAACTACAAATGGTTTAATGTAATCGAAATAACATACACCCGCGATAGAGTTTAGTACAGCGGACAAACTGCTTAGTGCAGCACTAAAGATCGAAGATATGAAAATTCCTGGCATTCCCTTTAAGTGTCCAATCACATCCTGTATAAAGAGTGGTACTAATTTATCTGATTTGCTAACAACCTGAAATATAAAAATAATATAATTATATTTTACTTTAAGGAACTGCCAATGTTTGCACACAATTTAATAAAACTTACTCCGCCCAAAACAGGATCACAGCCATGAAAACGTGCATACATGGCAATACCAATTAACACATTAAAGATCATAGCTACAAAAACTCCAATAGTTGTTATATGAACGGCTCTATTGTTGTTAATATTGAATAAACAAAAAATTCAAATTATTTTAAAACTATGACGATTTAAATTTCTTACATGCTTTAAGTTTATAGGTCTGTTCCACTACCTACTCGTAGTTACTTTGAGTAAATTGTGTAAACACAAGTGCTTTCCACCAGCAAGTTTTCGAGTAAATGAGAGCATCTGCGAAAGCGTAACATCCCTGTCGAAATTAAAAAAATGCTACACAGACTTCACTCGTACATTTTATTTCAAGTAGAATTTGTGTGATATGTGAGTCAGCTGTTTTGATTTGAATTTAAATTTTTGTAATGTTTATTTGCGCAGCACTGGTGCTCTCACCAGACATAATTTGGCACTTTATTTGTGTTACGCTTCAGTTTGTGCTTTACTTGTGTTTTACTTAAGTTTCACTACGAGTAGCTCGTGGAACAGACCTTATATGCGTTTTAAAGATGGCAGTGCTTTATATAAACATAAAATGGATTCTCAATTCAAACTTAAAACATGGCCTTTTATTGTAAAAGTAACTTTGAAGATACAATATTAAATATATTTGGTAGGTATTTTCAAATGATATATATGAATAAACTTTGAATACAAAAAACGACTTTTTGATAAAATCGGTTATAAATGTTTAAAAAAAATAATAATCCTAATTTGATCTATTTTTAGGTGCAAGCATCCTTTGCTTGTTTTAAAAATTAATAATTTTTCTTCACATAAAAGGTATTTTCATTTTTCACAGAGCTCCCATATATTTAGTTCCGATATTGAAAGTTTTAAAGCAAATATATTCTGAATTTTACTTTTGATTTAAATGCAAATACTTGTAAAAAATTTGTTGAATACTTTAAGATTAACTATTTTGGTTTTTTATTATTTAGAATTCTTTGTTATTTTTATAAATTTTTATTTGTAACTATAGTTGATAGCAATTGATCAACTAATCCAGTACAACACAATTAAGTTAATTTTGGCTATAAAATAATTAATAATCTTCTGAAATATTTAAATTTATTATAATTGTAGGAATAAATTGAATTTTTTAACTCCGTCATATTTTAATACATTTTATGTCATTCTCGCGCCAATTAAATTAATAAAATATAATTATTACCTTTTAGCATTTCTAACTGTTGGCATGGAAACAAGCCGCTGTACACAACTTTGATTTAGCCCAATATAACTTATCCAAACAAACATGCCGCTAAATAATCCATTCCAAACGGTGGTGCGCACACGTGGATCCAATGAAAAACTATATTACATACATATTATTAGATATATTTTTATACATTATTTACTTGAAATTTATTTGTACTTAAAATTTAAGCGTCCCCCTTCGTATGCATTCGTCATCACCGCATTGAAGCCGCCCAGTTTAAAAGTGCTTACAAGGCCAACTGCTACCATGGATATGAACATTATTAGTGCCTGCACTACATCGGTCCAGACAACTGCTTTAATGCCACCCTAGTTTTTATGATGCAATGTTATATGTCGTATTTTACTTTCTATTTTGTTTTTATTTATTATCTATTTACCAACATTGTGTAGAAAATGCAAATAGAGGTGACAATTGCATTAATTAGATGAATATTTAATCCGGAAACTGTAATGAAAATCTTTTATTCCATCAATGAGTATGCAGTGATATTTTATAGAAGATCAATAACCTTGTGAAAGCGCTAATGAAGGTAGAAATAAATGTACAGGTATTAGGAGTAGGGAATGCAATAAAAACGTAATTGTTATAATTTGACGAACGCGTTTATTGAATCGCATCTCAAGATACTGAAATTTTAAGATACATTAAAAATAATTATTATATATATTTTAAATAATTTAATATAGTTTTTATTTTAAACTTAATTTACTTCATAACAGCTGTGTACATTATTTTCATAAAAAACTGGTATAATTGTACTGTTCATTATTGGTCCAGTCAAAATAACAGCTCCAAGCAAAAGACTGAAACTGATACCTGTGAGTTAAATTAAGTTAGGCAATTACTAACTAATTAGGATATTTTATGTTTATTAAAGAAATTAATTAAAAATTACATATAAGCTATATGGCATATACATATAACTTTTATATATAATTAAAATATGTAAATTGTACTAAAAAACAAACCGTAAGAATATATTTCGGATGGTACTGTAACAATGGCTACCGCTGAAAGTTGGCTGAAAAAATAATACACTTTAATTAAGTTAATTAGTTTTTTATTTCTTATGTTTAAAAATATTATAATCTCATGTTTTATAAAATGTTATATGTATTTAGTTTCCTTTCTGTTATGATATTGGTAACAGGGACCGAAAATAAAAATTATAAAAAAGTTATTTAAACTTATAGTTAAGTATATAGTTATCATTCTAACAACTTTAATTCTTAATATTATGCATGCTACTCGAATTTATATATGAGCATTTTAAAACAAAACTCAAAAAGTAATAATTATATTTATTAAAAATAATTATTAACATATTAACCTTTTATTTTTTCACGCACAAATAACTCTTTTACTCTGCTTTTTATTTTTATTCGCGGAAATACATGATAATAATTATTTTTGATAAATGTAATATAAAACAAATTTAATTATTATTTTTTAAGTTTTATTTTAAAATGCGAATCATAACAGTTATAAGGTGATTTTGATTTTTTTAATCATAACTGTTACGTTACCTGATTGGAATGAACGATATAGCAAAATACTAACTTGATGATCAATGGAAATCAATACAAATATCCGAATTATTTATGTATAATGTAGTGAAACTATTATATTATTAATAATATATTATTTATAATTTTTAAACAGATATTAAAAAGTTTGATCAACAAATCTTAATATTTAAAATGCAGTAAAAAATTGAACAAAATAACTTAACAATTACACATTCATTGCATAATTTTCACATAAATAACAAATGCTATGGAACTGGTTTTTGATGAGTTTATATATAAACAGTTAATTAATTAATAAAATTCATTAAAATTAACATATTTCTATTTTTGCAATTGTTGTTTAATAATTCATTACAATTTCTTTTTATATTGTAATTCTTTTTAAAAAATGTTTTACAATATTTTTGAAGGTATTAAATATAATATTTAATTTATTTTCAAATAAACTATAAATAAATTTATAGATTAATTATTTATTTATTATTATATTTATTATTATTTATCATTTATTATTATAAATGAACTAACCTAGTTATAATTGAGATAGCAATTGGCCATGTTTTCATTTGTTTATTTCCCATCAAATATTCATCTGTTGTATTTTTGGATTTAGAAAAGAAGCCGAAATAAACTCCGATCGACGCAGAAACTAACAACAACAGTACGAACAAAAAGTAGTCGACTGTACCGAATGTAATGCCAGAGATGATATTCGATGCGGTGTTCATTGTTGTTGGTTGATTAATAAAAGTTGTTATGTTTGCTGTTCCACTAGACATTTTTTAAAGTCGCATTAAATAATTAAAAGGATTTTTTTTTGATATATTTTGTTATTAATTATTTCACTGAAGCACCTTTTTCACCAATTAAACGTACTACCGTAAATGTTTAAATACTGTAAAATTATTTCGTTTATAGGTTATATAGGTTTATAGGTTAAACAACATATTAATTAATTTTTTAATTTTTTATTCGATTTTTCTTTAAATCATAGCAAATAATTTTTATATATATCTCACTAATAATTTCATTGTATACAATAGTTTTACTAAATGATACACTTAAATGATATAATAAAAAATTGTGGACATTAATTACATATATTCGTCCGTTCGTATTTTGTTATTATAACAATATATATTATTATATTTTAAAAAGTGTAAAATTAATTAGATTTAGTTTGAGTTGTCCGCGTTGCAATTACAATGAACCGTGAAATTGTTCTCAGCAGAAAAACCGATATATTCAACTTAAATACTATAAATTTATTTCGAATAAATGATAATATTTTTCTCGATACTTAAATTATTCCTAATCGAGAATAACACGAGTTAAATGTTATAATGTTATTTTATGTTAATTTAAATGTTTTTTATGAGCGCAAGATAAAAACGTGATGTCTATCTGGTTATAAGCTTAGTTTAGAAGTAAAATCAAAGTTTCAATATTGAGAATTAAATTATCCAAAGTTTTTTAAAAAAATGAATGAATAAGTACTGATGTTTTACTGTAGGAATTTATTTTACTACATCAGGATACAAAAACTGTAGGCGTTACTGTCATCGATATAAGTTAGGCAGAAAAATGATTTAGAAAATTTAAATAATTATCTCTTCCAATTGACCTATTAATTGTTTTTATCAGTTTTAATATTAAAGTTTAAATAATTTTAATCAATTAATGTTTGTTTGTTGGGTTGTATGATAAATTTTCTCACAAAAAAACTTGAAAAGTAAAGGTTGGTTAATTTTCTATTATTGACTTATATAAATGAACTATAAATATTATACTAAAAATAGTATATATGCTCCATACTAGAGTATAAGCTTATAAACTTTTTATAAATATACATAAATTTGTCTCTGTGCGAGGAAATAGCGATTAAATACGTTTTTTATTTGAGCTGTTCAAAGGTTCGACTATATTAATATTGAGGCTCATGCATGAGCCTTTGATTCGAATAAAACTATTTTCTTAAAAATGTTCGAACATCATATTGTTCTTATCAAAAAAGAAAATATTTAAAATATTAAATAAAAAAAACCAAAAATGACAAACATTATTGTCTACAGAGAAGTTTGTCTCTAGACAATTTGGTTGTCTCTTTTAATGTTTGACAGTTTTAACATTTAAACTTATTAAGTCAAAAACAAATACAGAAATCAGAAAAATTATTGAAATTAAAAAACAAAAGTAATGAAGAAATAATTGAAGAGACAATTTTATTTTAATTTTTTAGTTATATGTTAAACTTATTTTTTCTCTGATTGATCAGAGACCTGTAGGTTAGCTTAGGTTATACGAGCGAACTAAAGGGGATATACTTTGCTCTATTGACCCATTGTGTTAGCGTATAATGGAGAGACTCAGGGTTTAAAACCAACTGGAGTCTTTGGCGAAGTTTAGAATGCTGTTTAGTGGGAGATCTTTAAGTTGATCAAAACCAAGAGATCTGTAAATTTGCACAAGGTACTCTGATTATCCGAAATATTAATTATATATAATATTTGCAGCATAAGTCTACGTCTATAATTTGGCTCTTTGTTAATGAACTGTACTTCTTCCAAATTTGGATGCGTCGCTAAATTTGGATTCGTCAGCAATGCGTCGCTAATGTTGTCTTTTGATCATTGGGAGTTGATCTGCTCTTTATATCGTGCAGATTCTCGTTCTAAGTTAGTTGATGGCATATGTTTGACTCGTCACTTCTAGATGGAATTTTGTATACAACATTGTGCTTATCTAATTTGTCCATTGAAGTTTTCGTTTTATGTCTTATGTTGAACCTTTTCCGAGTTAGTGCATTTGGGCACTTTTACTCTGTGATGGCTGGGGTGCTTCTGCAAAGTTCCTCCCATCTCACTGACTAATTTGAGTAATTTGAGTATCTTCGTGTTTATGCAATGATTAATCAAAGATCTGCGTACCGCTCCGTGCGGTTAGTGATTACTCTGAGATGAGATAGTGCTAAGTAGGACAGCCTGTCGGTTTTTGCATATAGCTTCAGAGCTCTGTCCCTTATGTATTTTTTGACCGGATCTATTCTAAGGTCTCTTAGCATGTCATTCGTGCGGATGTACCATGGCACTTTGAAGTGCCTTCGGAGAGCCTGACTTTGAGCAACTTGTAGCTTTTGGATAGTAGAGTCGGCAGCTTTGCTATACGCGACACACCCATAAAATAGTGCTGGTCTAATTATCTGGCTATAGATCAGCTTTTTGTTCTTCGCGCTAAGGTTTTTGCGCAACTACTTCTTTTGACGTGTATGTGCTTGTACCAATCGAACACAAGTGAAAAAATGATGTCAAAGTGTATTCTTGGCTCTGAAAGCTAATGGTCGCACATCTTCATTATGCCACTTGGATTTGTTGAAATTTTCCGAAAACTCAGAGATAGATTTCATTGAAATGTGAGTTTTTGGCTGTGGATCGGATTTGGTTTTATGTACTATATTCTCTTATTTTACAAGAGAATATATCATCCGTTTAGGATTATCATTTTGGAGCAGAATGTTTCTCAATACACGTCTCATCAAATTTAAAGCTGTGTTCCGAATTATATGATAAGGGTGTTGAGAATTAAATTCACTGAACGATATATTTAGTGTTTCTAGGTTTTTGGATAGCAATTTATTTTTAGTTTATTGTTGTGTTTAATAACTATTGCGCAAACTAATCAAGCTTTTCAGATTCTTCTTCTTCTTTAATAAATTTTATATACGTTATTTATCGTTTATAGTGTACTATCTATGTTGTTAATTTTTATGACCGCAAATATTCCATCTACGTATTTGGTCATAAATCTAGATTTTATAGCTATTTCGTTCATCTCTCTCATTTTGTCTAAAATGTTCTCCATTGCAATACCTGCCATAAAGGGTAAGATCGGAGATCCCATGGAAGATTCCATATAAAGTAGCTATTTTCTTTAAGGAGGAAACTTAAAATATCCATAAATATTTCTTTCTTTATATTGCATTCATTTTTTTTTATAAAGGATCACTTATTATCAATTATTCTTAACACATAATTTAAAATATATAGTTTATAAATTGTTACTTAGCTAGGGAAAAAAAATTATATCGCAGGTTTAACAAAGAACTTTTTCCAAATTATTTCAACTACTATTGTGGATGGTTTTTGCCTTTAGTATCAACCATATCGTAAGTTCTTGAAGAAAATAGCAACCTTTTCGGCTTACTATTTTTTCTATTAAAGATAAATTAGTAAGATATTTCAATACTAATAAGAACAGTGGAATTTAATCAAAGATGGGAAATATATGGAAAGTTGGGAAATTTTGCGTGTCGGTACATTTCTTTATAATATTTTTACATTAAAATATTATCGAAATAAAGCAGACGAAAGAAATTGATTAACTAATTAAATTTATTTGTTATTACTCAAATTAAATAGCCATTAGAAAAGAATTGATTATTTCATTTTAGCAATAAAAAATTATATATTATTTCCAATATTGACCGTTTGTAGTGTTTGCTCACGATTCAAGCTTACCAGTATATTATTCTAAGACAGAGAAGAAGTACAAAAACATTTAGGAAGTAGGAAGTAAAACCGATGAAAAATACATCAAAGACCAAGTCCTTAAATTGTTTGTTTCTGTGGGTGCTTATGCTAACTTCGCATTATACACGCATTACACACAAGTGCAATCTTTATTTAGTTATTAGATAGATATGCTGAACTTTAAAATTAACATTTATAAACTCACCTGAAAAAAAAAATATTATATTTAAACGGGATTTTTTTACAATGGTTCACTCTAGTGATCAAAGTCATTATTGAGTAAATGTGCATTGATTTCAGTCACCAAAGTCTAACAGAGCTATGCTTCTACAACTTTTACCATACTCAACGGTTTGAGAATTAGTGATTTTATAAATAGTGCCTACCAAACTGTTTATACAGTTTGTTTGAAAGCGCTAAACAACATGAACGCTAGGAAAAAGCAACAATGCGTGGTTGAGGTAATTGTCCGTTTATGGCCGTGTACGAGTTCGAAAATATTAATGGTAAATTAAGGAAAATAGTAAATTATGTCGGTATATCAGCGAATGTTGGTATTTACCAGAATTTTGATTGGGATAAATTAGATAAAAATTAGGTGTTACCATTGTGAATATTTTATAAGATATTTAAAAAATTAATTAATAAATTTGAAGACTTTTAACCAGAAATAATAAATAAGTGTAATAAATAAATATTAACTTAAGTGCAGTGCAAAGAATCCCTAGAAAATTTCAATTTACTCTACCTCAATTTACTCTAATTCGCACACGGCCTATGTCAGTGTCTGTTTAACAGTTTTCACTGTATTTTTTACATTTTTAATTTTTACATATATTTATTGTGATATTATAAATTAAAATAATATAAGTTATTATTAAAAACTAATAAAAAAACAGTTTTTAACTGACGCATTCCATTTTCGATATATAAACAGAAAAAATTATTTAAAAAAAAAATAAACGATGGTGTGCATTAAAATATAAAAAATGTGACTTTTTTATTTTCGATTTATGTACGACATTTTAACATACTTCATTTTGATTTTAATAAATATTTTGTGAAAAACAATAATTAAAAAATTCAATATTGTAATATCTATTTAATTTATCTTAAATAATATCAAAATTTAAATTAAAACTTTAAATTTAAAACATTAAATAATTTTAATGTCATATTTAACTTAATAATATAAACTACATTTAAACTTAAACATAATATTAAAAATAACTTAAGTTTATGGTGTTACATTTTAAAAGCTTCTATCTTTTTATAATAAAGGATTTTCTGAGATTTAAGTTCAATTAAAGTTAAGATTTATACGACTCCGTTGTCTCCATTTTGTAGAAGCTGCTGTGTTTTACTGTCGTTGCCATGTTTAGCGTCGCTTATAATTATTTTTGCATTGTTTTCGCCATTTAAAATTGGAGACTTTAAAGACATTTCTTCCATTTCTGTTGCGTCGCAACTAATAAACTTACGTATAAATGGCGAGAATAGCTTGGGATTAATTTTTTCATGTTTATCCACTTTCCAAAAGTAGCTCAAAGGAATTGCTACAATCCAAATAATTGCAGCACCGACAACTATATAAAATAGTAATTATAATTATATGAATTTGAAATAAAATTTAAGTCAACATTTTCTAAAAATAAATAATAATTCACCTTTATACCAAAAGAAAGAGATTTCAAATATGGAAAATTCTCTATTGCTTGTAAATGCAGTCGTCACTAATGGAGTCGGAGTTACTTCAAAATCTTCAGATAATTTGTTTTTATTGCCATTTTTGGCTCTAAAAAATTTTTTTAAAATAGTTATATGAGTAGTATTTTTTAATTATAGAAGTTAATTTACATTGAGTTAAGCACGAAATTTAAATTTCTTGCTTCACACTGATCTAATGTAGTTGAAATTGGGCTATATTTTATAGCACCAGATTTTATGCGAAATTGTGCAACTGCTATTATCCAGCACATAATACCAAGACTCATAATAACTGATGTTACAGCAACCTTAGAAAATAATAACATAAGATAATGTTGCATAAATAATATTCAATTTTTGTGCATAAATAAATATATCCATTAATTATGATGGAATAATGTGATTATTAAAATGATTTAGTTATGAAAATAATATAAAACAAAAAAAATTATGTATCAAATTTCATTAATTTTCAAAATATAACAAA